AGTGGTAGCAATGGTATTGTTGGTAGTAGTAGAAGTGGTAATAATATTCGTAGTAGTACACTCGTAGAAGTGGTACTTAGTAATTGGTAGTAGCGTTCCTTATATAATAATCATCATTATCGTGAGAACATCGTCTAAATCGCTACCGTCTTCATCGAAGCAATGAGAGGATCACTTGTGGGTTGACTGGGTATATGCATGTTATTCTGACAAGACGAGAAATATTATTATTCGTTTCCAACTCAAGAACTCAATACTTGTTCTCAGTCGATCAATCAGACAGTTTTTCACTCAATCAATCAATCAACGCACGCTAATCAGTCAGAGAAAGAGTGAAGGCAGGAGCCGATCGACCGCTTCGTCGGTCATTCGGGCTAAGGGTCGAAAGACTCGGGACGCGGACGTGAGCAAACGAAACTCGACGTCCCTGGAGAGAGACATACCACGAACGAGAACTTTGAGAACGAAGACGAATATTCAAATGAAAAACTCGGTACCGGAAGAGCTCGATTCTCGACTATGGACGCAACTGTGATTGGATTGCAGTTGCGCGCACGCACGCTCGCCACCTGCGACTGAGGGGCGCCGTTCAACAGTTGTACTCCACCTTCATCAACAGGGAGCCCTGTCTGTTGGCCACCTGCCATCATGGGGATCCAACCACAGACGAGCGGGCTCTATGCGATAAACAACCAACTACCTCGTCCTGTTGGCCGCTCGCAACAGAGATAATCGACGCGAGCGATTCCTGATCGAGATCCGGCCACCTGCCGAGCAGTCCGGAGTTCAAAGGGTGGCCACTTGCAGAAAGTTACAGTTTCCGACTTGTTGCCGAGAGAGAATTGCGGTCTCGCTTCGCATCGGTACCTCCCTTTTCTGCTCGTATCAGTGGGTGGGCTGTTCTTGTTGTCATTGTTGCTGCTGCTCATGTGCTTGTATTTCACGTTTAAATGCACTGGTGAAAGACGTCTTTCTACGTAGAAAAAAGAGAGATAGCCCATATGAACCCGTTGACCTCGATGGCGATGGCCCCACACCTTAGTGTAGACTCCTTGCCAGTAACTATTGATATCGATTTAGTAGCTTGGAGAGGTTTATCCTAGAAGACACTAGGTCAGGTACAGAGCCGACTGAATGGCATCTGCACTTGCTGGCTGGCTGGCGGGCTGGCTAACTAGCTGCTATGCTTAGCTGAATCAAAATATTCAACTGAATTTGTAGCGAAACAAGGTTAGAATAGGTAGTACAATAGGTAATAGATAGAAAGGGAATTGGATAGATGGGTATGTTGTCGATTGTTTGTTGGTTTGTTTGTTTCTCTCGTCGCTTGATAGATGATTAGACAGATTGATAGATCATTATGAAACTTATACAAGGGTCGACGAGTGGATAGATGGAGATATCGTTTTCAGACTACATACACAGACTCACCCACAACGTTGATGAGCGCGAAAAACTTTGACCACGCCGGGTACGTCGGATTAGTCCCTCCCGCTGAGTTTTACGGCTTCAACGGTCGTTCGTTTATTAAATGTTTTGCACCTCACTTCCTGCTGCTACTCCACATAAGCGATTGGAGCGACCACATGAATTTGTGGTCGAAGAAGAAGTTTCGTTTTTTGTGGTTGCTGTTGTTGTGAAGGTGGTGGTTGCTTGTTGGTGTATCTTTGATTTATCACAAATAATAACACTGTTGGTCTAGACGTTTTGATTGCTTGACTAAATGAACTTGGTAGGTATGATATCGCTTTGCTCCTCTCCCTTTTTTGTTTTTTTTCTTTTTTTCCCCGTATATTTCCTCCTCATTGTTCTACCTTCGGACTTCTGGCTCAGTTTCACTGCTGCAGGCATCATCCTTATCATATATGTAAGTTTTCTCGTATTCGATGACAGGGTCACTGTCACGAATACGAAGACGGTTTTGGCAGAGCGAGCATCGCACGTGAGCTTTTCGATTCTCTTTAGTCACCGTCGAGTTTCTGCAAACACTCCTTGAATATATATATTTTCATATAATCATCATTACGTAAGGTGTTCCAACACACATACACTCGCTTGAAAATGTCACGCTCACACTGTCGCAAACAATCATCCATCCATGCGAATCATCTTTCAATCAGTAAATCGATTCGGTAATTACTCGTCGGCTAATCGTACGGAACAAGACACAACACTAAGATCGCGGGAGAACGACGGCGACAGGTAGCTCTCTCGAAAAGGCGCTTCGAAAGAGAGCTGAATCAATCTCATCATTCAACTTTTCCGTGAACGTCGTTCATGAATTCACCATGACCTCTGCCCGACCAACTTGAGAACATCATGAGAACCATCGATGAATGGTCAAGAGTCGATTGGGAAAACAAACGAGTCATGGCGGGGTCGGGGGTGGGTGAGGAGATCCTTTACACTGTTTGGTTCTGATGAGATGCGCGCTATTGTGCTTCGTATGTTCCCTCGCGGAGCGGATCGGTTTCCCGAAGCGACAGAAAGTCCTCGCAACGGGCTTCGTGCAGCAAGGAATACGTCAGACCAATGCGTCGAAGTACGTCAATATGGTCCATTAACCTCTTTGTCGTCGTCGCCGCTGCTACTGCTGCTGCTACTGCCGTCGCAGTCGAGCTGATTGATACCTCACTGATTTTGTGGCTTGAGTTGATTAATGTACGCACTCATGTAACTAGATAAACAGGAGACCGGTTGCTACTGCTTCTTGTTGCTGCTATTCTCCTTGGCCTAGGTGTCTTTAAACGACACAAAAAAACTACCTACGAGCAGAGCAGAAAACACTAAGAACGAAAAACGGTTCTTGTACACGGGCTTCGACCGATGGACAGCCATCCAGGTTCGATTGCGAGCGACTCGAGGTCATGAAAACATCTGTCCGATAATTGCACCCTCCATTGCTGCCGAAATCGCGGACGATGCGGAGCGTGGTCTTCTGTTCGTACAATTGGTCAGAAACGACGCCTCCGACCGGAGCGAGGTGGCGTTCGGTCGAGGTAGATTCCTCCGTCATCGACGCGGACGCCTCGAAGAGGCGGCGGCTGAATATCAGCGGAGTCGATTCGTTTCGGGATACCGTTTCCGCCCGCGTCGCCGTCGCCGCGATTTTGTGCTGGTCTTTTCATCATCAAGCATTCAGTCCCTTTGGTCATCAGTCGCTGTGCACGACAATGATGTTGTCAACGACTGGATATCAATTCTTCATTCAGTCTAAGAAAAAATCGGTCGATCATTCGTTCCTTCAGTCACAAACACACAGGTTTTTATATTTATCATACTTCATATTATGTGCCAGGAGAGTGCCAGGAACAACCAAGGCCAGGAATCGGTTCCTAAGGGCCGATTACGATCACAATCTCTGTCTGTATGTCTATCTTCTGTTCGTCTGTCAAGCTGTTTTGTCCCTCGTTTGTTTGTTTCTTCGTCTGTCTATATGCATGTCCGTCCTCTCATCTCTTCTTGTATAAGCTTCTCGCTCGTTTGTTTACCGCGGTTTTTCGTTTGTATGCTTCTCGACCGTGTATACATGATGCATCTTCACCGTACCTCTTCGTCCTAAGATCACTAGCAGTGGTAGAAATAATAGTCGTCGCCGCCTTCTCATCGTAATAGTAGTAATAATAATAATGATATCATCAAGCGAAATGAGCGGGTTTGACCTGACTGCGGGATCCTAACTGGCTGCCTGCCTGTGTATGTACTGTTTGTCCGCACGTTGTCTCTACGTTGTCCGGTATTGTCATCTCATCATCGTCCACGCAGTCAGAAGTCTTGCCTCAAAACTTGCCTGGCCGAATATCCTATTAACGAGTTGGAGTCTCCTCTTCGGAGTTTGCGTTGAGATAAGTTGTCTTGCCGTCGTCGGCGCCGCTCAGTCCACACGGCACGGAGATGGAGGGGCTTGCTTCCGTTGGCTCGATCATCTCGATGCGGTCGGAGTCGACATGCTTGCATTCGCTTGAGTGAGCTCGAGGATTTTTAGAAAGATACATGTGGAGTAGTAGTCGTCGTTGTCGAATTCCTCTTCACGGTCATCGTCGTCGTGGTCGACTCGGATTCGTTTTTCGTACGACTCGCTTCCTCGCTCATACGCGAGCTCCGTGTCGCACCGGCTGAGCCGAGCGTTGGGAGACGCACTCCATCGCTCGTTCGAACGACCGACTTCAGAGACCGCTTCCGTCGTTGTTGTCGTCATCGACGTCATCATCATCGTTTCGATGCGAACTCTTGGGGATTCCCACCGAGACGCATCCTTTGCAGCTCTACTGCCTCTCCTTCAACTTGTGAACTAGGTGGTTTCCGTTGGTACATTTCGTCGAAAGTAAATTGGTTCCTTGGAAAGTTAAAAAAGTATCTTCGTCGTCGACGCTCGGAGTTCGTACGCAGATGCCCTCGCACATGTTCACGGAACGAGTTGATTGCTCCGACGGAAGCGTCACGTACGAGAACTCTGACGAGAAACTGACTCGCTGACTGACTGACTGCTGGCCGACGTAGCGACCCACTGATTCACTGACTGTCTTTGTGTCTGTCAGCTCGTCTGTCCGTCCGCCGGTCCGTCCGTCGGCGTACACTTATTTTTGACCCTCATCCATTATTTGTTGAAGTTAAGCTGAAGTGAGTTGTTCCATCATCTCGTCGTGGAATCTTCGCAATCATCATCATCATCACAACAGGCTGCGGCTTCATCGAAGTTAAAGTAGGGGTTGCTCGCTGTTGCTGCGATAATGTAACACTGTATGTAACTGCAGGTCGTAGTACTTGTAGTAGAAGAAGACTTGTCGTCGTCGTCGTCGTATTCGTCGTCGACATCGTCACGCTCTCATCGTCATCGTTTGGGAGGTTTGGACGCCGCCGGATCACCGAACTATCTATGTATTGTAAAATTAGCCATACTGGGTGTATTGTGGTTTCCATCGATGCACTTGTCCTTGACTTCCGTCATCGGAGTTTGCTTTAGGCGTTTGCCGTCGGCGTTCGCCTTGGCCAAAGGACGTTTACATAGATTCGCCCGAGAGGAGATCACCTGGCAGGAAAGAGTTGAGGGGTGCGGTATCATTGGCGTCCGGCGGTCCCCATAAAGCTCCAGCCCCGCTATTGGCTGCCGAAGGCCACCCACAATTCTGCTGAGGTTGCTGCAGCACACCGGAAGGCGGAAGCCGTGGTCCGCTCTGTTGTGGGTTTACTCCTTGTAGCTGAGGGTTTCCTTGTTGTGAATGATTCGCTTGCTGCTGTTGTTGTTGCTGCTGCTGCTGTGGATTGGGGCGACCTTGGTTTAGGGACTGGTAGTTGGCGAGATACAGAAGCTGTTGAACTTCGCGTTCCGAGGGAACGTAGGCGAGGATTGTTGTGTTTGAAAGCACGCAATTGTTGAGGGCACTCTCGGCTTTCAATGCCTCTTCGCGAGTCATGTACTGGATGAGGGCGAATCCGTGATTGAGGAAGAGGTGGAAGAGTTGCACTGGCCCATGCTGAATGCAGAGGGTCTTCAAGGTGGATCCGTCGATTTGCGCTGTGAGATTTTTCAAGACGAGGAATCCTTTACCGGTCGGAGAGACTGGGCCCGGCAATCCACTCAAAATGCTACCGGGTTGATCCGACTCGCCCCACTTCTTGCCGTTGCTTCCCGTGGGACCCGAGGCGGGATAGTTTGACTGCATTGAGTTGGACCAGTGTTTACCCTGTCGGAAAGAGAAAAATCACGTCATGATCGCCGCTGAAGTCCGAGAAATTCCAAGTCGTCGCATGAGAATACCGTAGCGACTCCAATACGGGGGGAAACCCGGGAATCAGGGAAAATCTACAAGGAAAACGAAAATTCTCCTTCGAAGAATAAAACGTCGGTTACTTACGTATGTGCTCTGATACCAGTCGAGTCCAACCATGGGTTCGTTGTCTTTCATGCCAGATGTGAAGAGGGGGTTCCTGGTCACGCTTCCTGGCGTCATATGAGGATCGTCCTCGGCGCTTTTCATGTTCCAGGATCCCTTCCAGGGCTTTCCCGGCTCGAACTCGGCCACGATATCCGATATACTGTAGTTGTTGTTCAGAGCGCTCGTGGCGCCCGATGAGGATGCTTGTCCACCGGTTGTCGATGAAGGCGCTTGACTCGAGGGTGTCTCACTCTGCTGAGATTGTTGTTGCTCTTGTTGTTGTTGCTGCTGCTGCTGCTGCTGTTGTTGTTGCTGCTGCTGCTGTTGTTGTTGCTGCTGCTGCTGCTGCGATACACTTTGCGGTACAGCTGTTCCGCTCAACGGATCCCATTTCATGGCGTTCGGCATGTTTCCATTGCTCATCTGAGAACCGTCCTGCTGTACACTGCCGGCCTGTTGCGTTCGCGAGTTCGCGTTGCCCATCGAGGCGGGATGGTGTCCATTCGACACGTCCCGGCCATCGGGACCGCAGTTACCGCTGGGCAGCTTCCACTGGTTCAATCTTGATTGCTCGCTGCCGCCTGCTGCTTGCGGGAGCGTCGCTCCCGAGGGCATCTGCTGTTTTAAGAAGAAAAGTTGTTCGGCGACAATCTTACTCTGGAGTTTGATGATGCCCTCTTTCATGCGCTGGACAACCTCATTGTGCCTTATGGGGTTACGCACGTGCGCCGGCTGCTTGCTCTCAAGCATGTCGAGGATTTTGATGCGGGTAAGAAGCTCGTACAGTAGCATCAGGGTCTTAGGAGCTAAGGGCTGACTGAGAATCTGAGGATCGAGGTAACCTCCGCCAACGGCGGTATGAATGCGAGCGACGAGCGAGTGTAACGCTTTCTGAGAATCTGCTCCTTCCTGATCCTTATCCTTGAAGTCCGGGTCGAAGTTCGCCAGACGGATCAGGTCGTCGTGATACTGCTGCACCTGTTGCGCTTGTTGCTGCGACTGTGCCTGCCCCTGTTGAGGTTGTTGTCCGTGATGCGGTTGTTGCTGCTGCTGCTGCGGATGATGCGGCTGCTGAGGGGGCTGCTGTTGCTGCATCTGCTGCGGGTGGTGGGGTTGTTGGAGGTGCGGGGGAGGTTCAGGCCCGCCCTGGTGCTGCGGTGGTCGCTGTTGAGGTCCCTGCTGGGGGCCGACACCGTGCTGCTGACCCATCGGAGGTTGTTGCTGAGGCGGCATCTGCTGCTGAGGCTGCTGGGGATGGTTCATCGGAGGACGCGGACCGTGCGGTTCCCACTGTCCAACGGCAAATGGAGCATGGTTCATATTTTGACCCCCAGCCGCGGGGTCTCGTCTGCCAGCGCCGAGAGCCCCACGAATAGAGAGTTGCAAAAACGAATGCTCCATGTTCATGTTGTGGACACGCAGAGCGCTTTCCACGTCATCCTTCGGGTAACCCAGCGCGGTGAGTATGCGGTAGTGCTTCGATGCCAGGATGAGGTCTTTGGTAAGCGGCTTGCAGCCTTGCTTCGTTGGGCCTCCCCAAGTGCTCGTATCGATTTGTCCCTCGGACCAGTCGGAGGGCATGGGTACCATTTTTGGTTTAACGCTCATATCGTATGGATTCCACGGAACATACTTTGAAACGCCGGGTGCTGGCATATCCTTCCATCGGGATACCTTATCCTGCATTCCAGGGCTGCCCCAAGCAGCGGTACCCATACGCACCCCTGGAAACATGAGAGAATATATCGGCTTAGAACACACGCGCGAGGACGGGCAGTGACCGGGGACCGGCGACGGTGAGGCCGAAGCGTCGAGATCGATGAAATCTCATGAATATCATCGACATATATGTTTTCGATCGATAGATGTTAGTTTATATGCTTTAAAAAGATGTTAAGTATCGGTACCACGAGAAGAGGTGGTCCCGGAACTCAACATACGGTCATCATAAGGGGGAGGCATTTGGGAATGATCGGGTCCGACATTCGGTTCCCACTCCTTATGAATCCCTTTCGGAGCGCCTGGGGGACTGACGTAGTTCACGAGAGCGTCCTTGAGCGCTTTCCAAGTTACGCCATTGTCGGGTTGAGGCATATTTACTGGCAATGGATGATCTGTTAGATAGTTTCAATATATTAATATGTATAATGTTCAGAAAGCAAGCCTCCGAGAAAAACTCGATATTATCGATCCATCGATTCATTAGGCGATCGAACGACCGGAAGAGGCGGTGGACGACACTCACCTGGTTGTCCCCAAGAGTGAGGAGGTCCCTGGGCATGAGGAGATGGGGCTGGTGCACCCCACTGCTTCTCGGGTGGAGGTCCTTGCGGAGGCCACTGAGAAACTGGGGGTTCGAGCCCCATACCGGGAGGTGCGACATTCGGAGGAGGAACGCCGGTCCACATGGAATTGGGATTTTCAACTTCTTCTTCGCCCCATGTTCCTGTTAATGAGGAGGTACAATTGATTTCCGTGAATGATTCGAGTTGCATGAATTAGTTATCCCACGTCGTCATCGCCATCATTGTCATACAAGAGTTTTTTTTCGGGCCTTGACGCGAGAACTAACCTCCGATATGAGAAGCGGGGGTGTGCGGAGCTTGCCACGGGGCTTGTTGCTGATGGTGCGGGGGCTCTTGCTGCATCGCAGCTGAGACGGATGCGCCCCCACCTGGTGCTTTTGATCCTTTCTGTCTTATACTGCATTCCCAAATATCTGTTCCCCTCACGTGCAATAACTGAGCAGCTTCACTGCGGGCCTCCCAGATTAGCCCGCCCTGAAGCATTTGCCTGTTAGACGCTTGTTGGGATTTCGGAGGATGCTGCATCATTTGCGGAGCAGGCGAGTCTTTGGGAGTCATTGGTCCGTCCCATGAACTGTCCTGGTTAACTGATACCATTCCTGGAAGCAGAGACCGAGAGTTTTCATGAGAGATCGACAATAGAAGTTCACGTTCAATGCCGGGCATTCCCGCCAAATGGCTCAGCCATGATGAGAGCTCAAAATCTCTGGAGAAAATCGTCGAACACCTACCCCAGCCTTGGGAAAAAGCGGCCAATCTCCTTAACTCGTCTTGCTCGGGATTTCCATTTGAAGCTCCTCTCATTTGGTTTTTGTCGCCGCCATGTCCACCTGCAGTAGCTGCCCAAGAGACGGCGCCGGCCGACGGGGTCTCCTCGTTTGAGGGCCACGGCGCATTCACGGCAGCGCCGCCGCCACTTGGACCAGAGCCTGCTGCACCCCAACCGGACATACCGGCAGTGGAGGTCGATGGTCCTGGAGCGCCCCAATCTGCCATGGATGAGCACAGATTGTCAGTCACGTTTAGCAACTCAGAAGAGTGTCCGGAGCTCGGATCTCTCCCCGGGAATCTCTATCCGAGAACGAATTATCTCCGATGCTCGACATTTTCATGAACTCGCGGAAGCTTCACAGCCCGTCAATCAGCAGACAGAGAGACTGACTGACCGAACGAGTGACAGACTCCCGCCCCACAATGAATGATTCAATGAGGCTAACAGAAGCTGAACGGACCAACGCGGACCTCGATTCGATTGACTTGACCGGATATCGAGATCTTTCTAATGTTATCCAGATATTGATTCAATCAAGGCCCCTTCGTCACTCCGCACGTTCGGTGCCGAGCCAGAACGCGAGCCGTGATAGCTAGAGGGCTTTGAAAAGTCGTGATTCAGACCATGGGGGAGGGTGACGTAAGCTATTCGGATATTCGAATCAGAATCCGACGTCTAGGTAGTCGAATGGGGAATTTCGTCATTTTCGAATCGAGCTCCGCTAATCCGGACGCTAGAATAAGTAGAAAGAAAAACTCACTTGAGGTCTGACCGGTCGAAGTAGAGGTTTCGCCTCCTCCCAAGAGTCCCAGCTTGGGGGTGACGATTCCCAACTTCGGTGCATTGAGAATACGCACTAGAGAACCGCCTACAGCACCGGCGGGATTGACTTTGAGTGAGCCCTGATCGGCTAAACAACCTGTTTGTTGCTGCTTCGGAATGGCTCCGACGCCTTGAATGCAGCTCGAAATGCTGTTATTGTTCGAAGACGACATTGTGAAAAACGGACTTGAGTTAGCGGTAGACGATGACAACGTTGATGACGATGACGAAGGGTTTGTAGACATTAGAAGATCGCCGCTCCGAATCTGGTTTGGATTCGAGCCAATTAGGCTATTCGCCGGATTAACCCCAGGGGCCGCACTCGATGGGCCAGCTGGAGACATCAATGAATTCACAGCATTCAACTTGTGGTGCGGATGCTGAAGCATCACGGCTTTACGGGGGAACGTCTCAGTATGCTTTATCTTTTTCGCGACGCCCGTTTCAGCACTCGATGATGATCTATCTGTTTATGCTGACTTCAATGATGTTGATACTTTTAAAGTAGAGATTGTTCTTGTCGTTTCTGATGCTGCCGTGGAAGAGGAGACCAGGGCGCACGAGAGGACGAAGCACACGACGACCTGGAAAAAATAAATACCGAATCAAAATCGACTCTTGATCTTCGAACAGAGATCTCCCTCCCCCTTTTCGGATCGATGGCTGTCCCCGCTGTCGAGTCGACCCGTGAGTGCAGAGTCCGCGCCGTTGGTGAGCGCCACAGGAGCGATGGAAACAATGTTTCCGATTCGACTTGAAAACTAGAATCGGTGGGGAGCATGAGTTGATCATGAGATTGTTGTGTTTTTCTATCTCTCAATCAGTCAACGCCCATGACCCGTTGCGTCGACCCCGCCCAATGGTTTCGAATATACACGACGCTTGAATCCTGCGCTTTCGGCTCTTGTACTGGTTTGCAGAAGCTGAAGACCCATTCAAGTGCGGTAATGCTCGTTCTGGACACCGTTAGACGGATCGAACTATTCTAAATCACAAAGCAAAATGACCGGCGGACTTTTTCCGAGCCGGTTGTGGATTTGACGGCGCTCACTCAGACATCAAGATTCGATTCCGAATGATTCCTCAATCGAAACTATTCAAGCTGTCGGAAGACGCTCTTGGCTCCATGTTTTCGAATACGTTCCACGCAGCGCGACTCATTGCGTTCCTGAGTCAGTCAGTCAGTTAGCCAGCCATTCCGACCGTCCGCCAGTCAGCTAGTCAGTCAGACGCGACTGTCGAACGTTAGACACGATTACCGCCCGAAAGGTCGCCCGAGCGCCATTTACGACGACGTACAATTGACAGTCACAGTCAAAACACAACCAGAGAAAGTGATTTCGACGTTTCAATCTCCACCGCAGTCTTGAGAACCTAAGAGCGTTGCGCACCGGCACCATAATGCCGAGGAACTCGTAGTGCAAGCCGACCGAGTCGAAAATAGCGAACGCGCTCCGTGGTACAACGACGGAGACCACTGACATAGTCAATAAGATTCTCGCTCATCAGTCAAGCAATCTCCACCTTGACGCCCCGACCGGACTACCGTCGAAATCGAACGGGGTCGTCCGCCGATATGAAAGCTCAAAACAATCAGAAATCTTTGCGCTCCTCACAGCCTGAGCGCAAGCAAAGTCTCTCAGACGCTCGTAGTCTCAGTACGATGATCCACCGAAAAACAGCAGAAATATCCGAACATCTCGCTCACTGACACCGAGCGAGCGTGCCCACAGGTGGGAATGTTTCACAGGTCGGATGTGTTCAAGGCGATCACGGATCTCGGAACAAAACACTTCATTCCGGAGAGAAGATCAATATCGAACCACACGGACCACACTTGCGTTGTAAATATCCTGCTACTCGCATCGCACATCGAACCCACCGGACTGTTGCCTCGAACTCCAGCTCACAAACAATAACAATGATTTGCAGGACGGGATCGACACTCGAAATCCACTAACCAGCCTGCCGCAGAGTTGACTATTGTTTAATGGTCGCTGGCTAGGCGCGCTGCCGTCGTCGTCGAGCAGATAGAACGGCCGACAGACACACATTCGGGCAGGCAAGGAAGGTTAGTAGCTACATAGGTTTGTTGCTCGGTTGGTTTGCTCGCTTGTTCCACTCAATGCTAGAACGATCGGTGGCAGCAGCGGTGGTGGTGGCAGTGGCTGCGGCAGCGGCGACGACGACAGCGGCGGCAGCTTGCTCTCTATCTAAGTAAGCAGGCGACACGGCCAGCAGAGCAGGCACACAACACTCCTCACAAACATCTACGCTGGGCACCGACGCGTTTGCGAACGTCGATGGACTGGCCTCGCAGAAGCGATACCTCGACTCGATGGACACAACTCTATCGGACCAGATCGGTTTCAAGGGGATGAGCCGAGGCTCACATTATGCTTCCTAAAACTCTCCGATTGTAGACAATTCGAACTCGGGGTACCATTGAAGCCCTACGCCTGACGCAGTTTCACGTTCAACCCCGCTTCCGTGGTGAATGCGAAACCATGGCATAGAAATATCTTCAGGAATTTCAATCGATCATATCATAATTAACATAGATTCAAATGAATCAACCTCGAGGAAATTCCGTTTTCCGCCTCCGACTGGGTCCCCCGATCAGTCCTCCAGGGCGCTCCGCAGTGGTGGAGGGGATCACCAGCATCAACACGAAGCCGCCACCACCAACAACAACAACAATGATAAAGGCGTATTGTGACTTGTGACCTATTGAGTCGATGATCAGCGATCGAGTTTGCCCCTCACGATACGTCCGCTCGTCTGTCGTTCCGACAAATATGACATCATACGCAACTACGATCGCACGGATAGCCATTCGGAAGATGGCTCCTCCTTCTGCTGGTCTTGTTGTTGTTGTTGGAGTAGGAATGTTCCGGAGCGAGATGCTCGATGCTTAGCCGCCCGTTTGCCAAATCACCTGTCCCATCTCGCCCAGTTCACGCATCGGGAAACGGCGATTTTCACGCGCCTCATCGGATACGTCCTGTCTGTCCATCCTGCTCGCGTTGCCTTACGGGCTTACCGACTGGAGCGACTGACTGACGGACTGAATGGTTGGCAGGCAGGCTGTCTGATTGCCTCGCTGGCTGCCTGGATGGCTGCCTACCACAGTGGACGAGAGCTCTAATTTGGGAATAGTAACGGCCTACCGATTCGCTGCGTAGAAAATTGCTCGGCAGAGCGATGCGATTCGTCGATACGAACACATACACTACGGAACACAGTTGCACTAAGACACCTGCTCACAGCCGCAGACGCATAGATGGCGTTTAGGCTTCGATATCGGCCAACCAGCGGGACGCTCGCACGGGATCCGAGGTGAAATAGCTTTCATTTCGACTTTGTCCGACCACGCACTGATGGGCAAGGCTTCGAACTTGTCGAACTTGTCGTGATTCGCTAACCTTTTCGTTTCTGAAGATGTGGCGCGTCGACTTTTTTGGAACGTCCGTTCGTCGCCAACTGCATTACTCCGCCATCTTTGTCGTGCTGCTTTGGTCTTCGTCTCGTCGTCTATCTGCAGCAGCCGCTGTGAGCGCTGCTGTAAGACTACGCTGCCGCCGCCGCCGCTGCCGTTGGCCACCATCTCAGTCTCTAGAAGGGCAGCCGCCGTCGGCAGCGGTCAGGCGTCCCCGCTAAAACAGCGGCTCGACGCTTTCCCTCTCCCCTCGGATTCCTCCTCTCCCTCGTCACCAAAAATACTCGTTACTGTGACGGCGGCAGTCGCCCTCCCTTTATGACTGCTGCTGCTGCTTTCAAGCTGCTTGGAGGCGCACAGCAGCAGCTCCTTGCTAGGCATCAGCAGCAGCGTCACCCGCGACGGCTGCGCCATGGTTAGTTGCAGCCGCCGCCGTTCGACTGCCCGCCCGCCCGCTAGCCAGCCAGAAAGTGGCTGGCTCGATGGACGGATGGAGGGGAGGCTCGCGCTGGCTGGCTGGCTGCTCGGCCACATCGGCTCGGAGGTCCACCAACTGTTGTGTGTGGACGACGACTACGGCGACTGGGATTGCTCATTCGCTGGTGCTATGTTGCCGATGGCCCTCGCTCGGATGAAGATTGCTTTTGACCGTCTGTCTAGAGTCTAGATGATGATGGTGGTGGCGGCGGCTCGCTCGGTAGGATGCTTGCTGCTTGCCACCGCCCCGCCGCCGTCGTGAGGAGTGTCCCTTCAACGACGACGGCACACCAGCTGCGGCGGCCACTGCATAAGGGAGAGGGCGAAGATATCTGCCGCTACAGTTGCCGCTGCTTCTAAGGCGTATTCTTCGAGGAGCTCAACAAGTCGTTCAAGAACTGTTGACCGACCACCGCTGCTGCGGCTGCCATCATTGCCAAGCAGCTTGACTGCGAAGCAAAGAGCAAGCCGGCGCCGACCGAGAAAACCAGTCAGTGCAGCTAGCAGTAATAACGTCCCGATTTAATCTTGTCGCAGCAAAAGGCACCGTCAGCAGCGAGAGTGTCGATTGCGCTTTCGAATCCTCGGACAAATCTAGATAAACAAGAACAATACAAGAGCGAAATAACGAGCCAATGGGGGCGATCGATGGGGACCAGAATTTTCGAGACTTTCCCCGCCCCACGAACTCTGAAATCTGGGTATCGGGACGCTCAGTGAGTCGCTCCATGCGGGGCATCGGTCTCCAGTGGAAGGAGCGTGAGCATCTCCCCGCAGGGACGCCATCAGCATGTCTGGGACATTATAAATGAACGTAGTTGTAACGAAAGCACGGAAGAACCTAAAGTGGGATCAAATTCCGTTATCGTTCATAGCGAACTCTGTTATGAGATCCTTCGGGGAAAATTTAGATTCCCTGCTGGCTGCACTATCCGCAGAGCACCGTTCAAACACCTGTGGTGAAACTGAGCGACGTCAACATCGTCGTGGTTTACTAGGTGTTGCTAATTTCACAGCCAGGTCACATATTTTGTCGTGTGTCCAACTGAGGCAAGGAGGATCACACCGATGCTTCATGCTTATCCGGGATCGCACCGGGTCGGTGTTTTTCTCTGAACGAGCGGAATTGCAGAGGCTCCGCAGCCGCTCACGAGTGGCCTTGGATGATTTGACTGTGAGGAATGTTGCCCATCGGAATGTCTGGAAATCCGATAAGAGGTCACCAAGAATCCGACGGATAGACTCCCCGATTCGCTT